CCCCGCCCTGCTGTGTAGCCAAAGACGGCCACAGCCTCTACAGGTGTTCAGGTCGGGTTTGGCCAACAGGCCCCATCACTCCGTGGGGGTGGGTAGTACTGAAGCCGTCCCCTCGTCAGTGAAGAAACTGAGGCACGAAGACTTTGAGTGACTTCCGAAGGTCAGCCAGCCACGAACGGCGGAGCAGGGGTTGGGTCTGCCTGTGGAGCCCCGCTTCTGACACAGCGTTAGACTGGCCCTGGCTACTGTATATATTGTGTGTTTATCGATCGCTTCGCCACCTCCAGCATGATGTCATTAATTCATATGAAATTCTCTTCCAAGTGCTATGTTTTATTCCTGACGCCTCCAAAGCTTTCCATTACCGAACTTATTAACAACAAAGCAGCAGTTTGCGGTCGGTCGAGCAAATCGCCCAAAACAGTTGATGGTTTATTTTCACCGACCCCAGGCTCAGAAGACACGATCATTGTAATTATTTTCATATTTATTCCCATCCTACAATGTCTCTACAAGAGTTTTACGTAACTAACAGCACTATAACCTCATAAATTAATGAAGATGTTACGAATGGGTGATGTTAAATCTTTAAATGTAAACCGTGAGGCCTGGACATGCTCTTGTAGGAGTTATTAATTTACTTCTTTCTCTTCCCAACACGGGAATAAGAAAAATAATTCACCCACAGGAAAAGCCAAAGGTGGGCTTCTCAGGCTTCCAAGCCACGCACCCCAAGTTCTGGAAGGTGCTGACAACTCCTTCCCATGAATATTTCCTCACTGCTGCTCTGTGCTCTTTTTGCTTTAGCAATTTGAGGAATTCCAGAAAATTACTGAATACAACCTATATGCTCAGGGAACTTAATGACCACTGAAGAAATATATTCTGGATGAATCCATCACCTAAGAAATGTCACTGCAGCCACATTTGCTTCTGTCTTTAAGTTTCCAGAACACATCCGGTGGCAATCTGCCACAGGACCTTTGCAGCTGCTTCTCCCCCTGCTCAGAACCATCTTTCCTCTACAAGATGAGCTCCTTCTCCCCCAGGTCTTGGCTTGAGAAACCCACCCTCAGCTCTTACATAAGGCGTTTTCCATCTGCTGGTCTGTTTCACTGCCTTTTCTCCTTCGTAGTCGTTCACAGTCTGTAATTACACGATTTATTCATGGTTTACAACGGCTTTCTCTGTGTGCTTCTCTACGCTGCAAGCCTGGAGGGGATCACACCTGCTTCTGCCGCAACACTGTTTCCCTGGCAGCTTGCAGGGTGGCATCTTGGAAACACTGTGGAGGGAGACTTGGGAGAGGTTAGCGAAGGCACCCATGTTGGCAGATTGGGCCTCCAAGAAGGTCCCCAGAGGCCACCAATGGAGGTGATATGTGCAAGAGGTGAGGGGCTCTGGAGTAGAGAGCAACTTTCACAAGGCAGGAATGTGGCTTCCTCTCTCTTCCCTCTGTCATGATACCTTCTTGGATTCTTTTCTCCTTTGTCCCCCTCGGTCAGAACCTCCCATCTGGGGAATGCCGTTGGGGTGCATTTGCCAACTTCTCCACCTCTTGCAAGCACCCATGTGTCCCCATCCAGTCTGCCCATTTGTTCTGAATTCCCTGCGTTCGATCTGAGCTAAGACACAAAAGTTAGAAGAAAAAAAAAACAGTTAATGGATCAGGGAATATATTTACTCTTGTGCTCTCCTAGAGATGGGCTGAAAGGTCATTTCAAATAATTATCACCTGATAATTGAGCAGATGGCAATCACCAAATCAGGCAGTTCCCCGCCAGTCGGCATCTCTGTAGCTAATTCACCTTCATGCCTGGGCAATTTGTTCTAACTAGATTATATTTCATGATAGTAACTTGTATTCTGCGCTTCTCGGGGCACCCCAGAAACAGACTTTCCAAAGGGTTTGGTGTCCCACAGAAAGCTCTTCCTACAGAAGCTAGGAGAACGGGCATGGGCCCAGAGACCTGACATGGGCTGCTTGAGGCATCATAATGATAGCCAATCACGCCTCTTTCCAAGGCTGCCTCCGTGTCTGTGCTGGAGCCGTGCCTCCCCCAGGACTGCCCTCCTCAGTGGTGTCACCCGGTGTCCCCTGACACCTCCTGCTGTACAAAGGATGAGCGCTCAGACCATCTCACCCCACGTTCTAGTGAATCGAATCCAAAGAGAAAAGCAACCTGATTATGGCCACAATGCTTCTTAATTTATCATCCTGGCAACCCACTGTTCCCCTTACCCTTTTCTGCCTTTCAGTTTGGTCCTTTTTATAAGAATTCTGAGGGAGTTTCCTACCTGTGCAAATTCACCTCTTCCCGGGAAGCCAGTCACCCTCCCTGGCAGGTGCTCCCTCTATGAATGGGTCGTTACTTTTAGGCAGGGATGTAAATAGTCCATTTACTTGGAGGAAATTAGAGGCGAGGATCGAGGCAACAACGTATAATCACTTAATTTGGAGCAGATCCAGGACTGAATATAAGCACCTTTGATTTAAAGGGGAAAAAAGCAATTAAAGGCAGTTGGCAGAAAGTTCTTTCAAGTCAATGAAGTCATTCAATCAGTCCATAAAAAATGACTAGCTTTTGAAAGCGTAATTTGGTCCCAAGTGAGAAGAGAAAAAGAAAAAAGGACTGGCACCCACAAGAAGGAAAACCCAGCACCAAACATTAGTGGATGATCTCATTGGTTTTCTGGTTCCATCTTGTTTTCCTGTCATCCTGCTTCTCCAACACACTCCCAAGTCTGCCGTTCATCCGGCTCAGCCAGTATCTCGGCCCCTCTGAGCATCCAACGAGGCCCCCCTTCGCGGTGGGGCGGGCGGGGCGAAGACTGCGGTGCTGGGCTCTCGCTCTCCCTGTCTGCCCGCCCGCAGCTCCAGCTCAGCCCGGACACGCTGCCCGCACTGACCCCCGGGCTAGTGACGTCAGGAGCAAGGGAGGGGGCTCTCTGTCATTCCAGGGCACGGAGACCGTCGCAGACCCTGTTCTGAAGTGTGGTTAGCTGCCTGCAAGAGGGAGCATGGGCAGAACACCCGTGCAGTATAAACATCACAACGTTGCTTGGGGTGAAGAAGTCCTAGGAAAAGTCCGCAGTTTCGTTCTGGCACAACGGCCGCATCCTTCCTCTGTCTCATCCCAAACTGCTTTGAATCCCTCACTTGTGCTCACAGCCCAAGCTCAGCTGCTAGGTGCTGCACTTCCCTGAGTGCCCCCCAAGCCCCACCTTCAGGGGACTGTCCTCCTGCTCGAAGTTGAGCCCTGGTTACAGCTGAGTTACAACCACAGCGTGTCATGCTGCCCTTAGAGGCCCATGTGCCTTCTCTGAAACCCTTGGGCCAGATGTGTTTCGGAATTCAGAACTTTGCAGCTTTCAAAAGATAATGCACTGCGTATGTTCTGTATTACATCAAAAACCCCCAAGGCTCCGGGGCAGCACCCTGTAATCAAATCCATTAATATTTCCGCAGGAAAACACATGAATATTCAGGCTAAGTGGGGAAAATAATGATTATAAATAGTCTCTCGTCGGTTCAGGGCAGGTTTTGCAACCGAAAGAGTTCCAAAAACTTTCAGTGTGCAGAACTTTTGAATTTCCGAGTTACGTGTGAAGGTAGTGGACCTGTATTTACGTATCTTTCTACCCTACCAGACTGAACACCAGGAAGGAGACGCCGGCTCCCTAGCGGTCCATAGAATCTGAAGCCTTGGTACCATGTGTGACTAAACCAATGATACATAAAGTGAAAGGAAGTGTTGAGGAATCGAAATAGGTGCCCCATCCCTTCTCCAGAGTGCTGCCCCACCTCGGGCAACAGGCTGACCTGACCGATCATCCGAGGCTGCGTCAACTTCCGTAAAGGGCCAGATAGTAGTCGTCCGCTTTTAGAGCCAGACACTCTCATTGGCAATATTTAACTCCACCCTCATAGTGCAAAAGCAGCCTTAGATGACGTGTACATAAATGGGTGTGTCCGTATTCCAAGAAAACTTTATTTATAATGACAAGCTGAGGACCACAGTTGGCCTGCAGGCCACATTTGCTGACTCCTGAACAAATCCACAAATGTCTTAATGATCAAGACTTACTCAGCAGATAGGGCTTCTGTCCTGTGATGAGCTCCCTTCTCCGGGCTAGAGATTCAGCAGTGACTAAAACACGAGTTTTCGCCCTTGTTAAGATTATAGTCTAGCTGAGTCCAGGAGTTAGATTAAATTCTTCAGATCATCTCAGCTCTGTGCTCTACTTCACCTTTATAAAAGTGGACCTTGGTCAAGGATCTGAATAGACACCTCAGCAAAATAGTTACAGATGGCAAATAAGCATATAAAAGATGCTCCACACTGGGTGTCATCAGGGAAATGCAAGTTAAAACAACAGTGCGATTCCATTGCACGTCTAATAGAACGGCCCAGATCCAGAACATGGGCAACTCCAAATGCTGTCAAGGATGTGGAGCAAGAGGAACTCTCATGCACAGCTGGTGGGCCTGCAAAATGGTGCAGCTGCTGTGGAAAACAGTCTGGCAGTTTCTTACAAAACCACACACGCCCTCACCAGAGGATCCAGCAATGGTGCTCCTTGGCAATTTACCCAAAGGAATCGGACATTTATGTCCCTATGAAAGCCTGCTCAGAGATGTTTATGGCAGCTTTATTCATAATTGTCCAAACTTGGAAGCAGCCAAGATGTCCTTCAGTAGGTGATGGATAAACTGTGGTCCATCCAGACAGTGGAATATTCTTCAACACAAAAGAGAAATGAGCTATCAAGCCATGAAAAGAGATGGAGGAAACCTCGATGCATGTTTTTAAGTAAAAGAAGCCAGTCTGAGAAGCCTTCATCCTGTATGATTCCAACCCTGTGACATTCTGGAAAAGGCAGAACTATGGAGACAGTAGAAAGATCAGTGGTTTCTTGGGTGGGGGATGCGGGAGAGATAAATAAGCAGAGCACAGAGGATTTCTAGGGCAGTGAAAATGCTCTGTGTTATATTACAGTGATGGATACACATCATTGTTCATTCGTCCAAGCCCATAGAACGTACACCACCCAGGGTGAACCATAAGGCAGACCATGGGCAATGATGATGCGTCAGTGCAGATCCATCCTCGGTAAAAGATGTGCCATCCTGGTGAGTGATGTTGAGAATGGGGAGGCTGTGTTGGGGGGTGGGGCAGGGAGCATATGAGAAACCTCTGCATCTCCCTCTCAGTTTCGCTGTGAACCTAAAACTGCTCTAAAGAAAGTTGTCTTCAAAAAAAATTGCCCATAGAGTCGATCCTCCTTAGCCACAGATTCCAAATTTCCAACTTTGCCTATGCCCTAAAACCTACGTGTAACATCAGAATAAACTCCTGCAGAGCTTTGGGTGTGCAGGACACGTGCAGAGCCGTGAAAGATGGGATTCACACAATGCACATGCTCTTGGCTGTGGCCCAGCCAGCCAACCCTCGCTCTATCTCTAGCTCGGTTCCCGCAGTACAAACAAGCGTCCTTCCTGCATCTAGTGGGTGTCATGGTTTTTGCATTTTTGAGCTCTTTTCTGTTTATAATGTCCCCAAAGCACAGGGCTAACATGCGTTCCTATGTGCCTAGAGGCTGTTCGCAGAGAAGACACCCAAGTTAGTTAAGCTTCATTCAGGCATGAGTTATAGTACTTCTGGCTGCGGGTTTGCTGTTAATGAATCAACAATATATATTAATAAGGTGTCTTTAAACAGAAATAACACATAAAACAAGGTGATGTATTGATCGGCTGATGAAAATGCCGTGACCAGAACATGGCAGCGACGCAGGCCAAATTCCCTCAGGGAGCAGGGCTTCGGCGTTCACTAACTCAGAGTTCATGGTGACTTAATAAAGCATGGACCCCGGAAGAACCCAGATCAACTGTATTTGTTAATAGCATCCTTTCATTGTTTAAATCTCGCCCTCATCCATAATTATAATTCTTCATTTATAACATGACCATTGTAACAGTCTCGCCAGAAATTTGTCTGTAATGGTTAGTTTGGGGTGGTTTTTTTTTTTTCCTCCCCAAAGAATCAACTTCTGGCTCTTTTTATACTTCCAAACAGATTTCTTCTCTAATTCACAAGTTACTTAGCCATGTGTTACTAAATTCCCAACCAGTGCGCATTTTTTTTTATTTTTTTATTTTTTAAGATTTATTTATTTATTTGAGAGAGAGAGAATGAGAGAGAGCACATGAGAGGGGGGAGGGTCAGAGGGAGAAGCAGACTCCCTTGCCGAGCAGGGAGCCCGATGCGGGACTCGACCCCGGGACTCCAGGATCATGACCTGAGCCGAAGGCAGCCCCCAGTGTGCGTTTTTTAATTTGTCTTTTTGTGTTAGCTTTTGACTTAATAGCGATGTGGTCGGAGGACGTGGGCTGTGTGAAAGCCATCCATCCTGTAGGCCTGGTGGAGGCTACCGTGCGGCCTCCCACCTCTGCTGGCCGCCCGTGGGCACGAGAGGCAGCTCTCCTACGGCTCTGCCACTGAAGGTGGAATTCCACGCGGGTCCGCTAGGCCAGTGCTGAGATCTGTGCAGCTCTCCCACGTCCTTGCTTATTTTTGTCTCATTAACCTCCAGTCATTGGAATCATTGTAAAAGGGGACTTGTCCATTTCCCCTGCCGCTCTGTCCATTCTTAGCCTCCTCCGTGGGGGGCTGCTCTGTTAGGTGCTCCACGTTTCGAGTGGCCATATCTTCTTGCTGAATGGAACCTGTGGCCATTATGCAGAGACCGGTTCTGTGCCTTATCACGCATTTTGCCTTCAACTCTACCCTGTCTGCTGTTTACCTGAGCATGGCGGTCTTTGGGGGAGTATATTACCGATGAGTCTTTTCCTCCATCCTTTTATTTTCAACCTCTGTGGGCCTTATGCCTTAGATGTGCCTCTTAAAGACAGGAGACAGAGTGGGAAACCTGAGAGCAACCTCCCCCGCCCCCAGAGCGAGCTCTAAAGCCCCCAGCTGCTACGGACACCTCCTGGATCGGAGGAGGGGGTCCATGTCCTGCGATTCCCCAGACGGAATCACAGGCGCCACGGGGAAGAGCAGGTTTGACTTAGTCCATTGGAAGGGCCGGAGGAAGCCACTTGTCACACCCTCCATCTGCCTTTACCTCTTCTTTTCCTATATTCTGTCTCTCTTTGTGTTGCCTTCGCTTTCCACAGGGTCAGACATGGGACTCGGGGACCAGAGGCTGAAGGGGACCTAGGAAGAAAGGATAATCCAGAAACGCAGTGGAAAGCCCTCCCCATCGGGGCAGAAAAGTGCTTCCTTCCCAGACTTGTTGATCCTACAAGGCTCTGTGAAATCCAGTGTGCACGTAAATCACTTCACGAGTTCCTTATTTGCCTGTGATACCCTCCCATTCCAAACCTGAAGAAACGAGATCAGAATGACACCACTTGCGTACCCACAGAAACAAGGCAGGGACGAAAGTGGTGAAGCAAGCAGCCTTAACCATGAGGGAACTGTGGAAATTGTGTGAGTCTACAGGCTGCTCGTTTTCAGCCCTGTGAATTTCCCAGCTGTTAGAGGAGGTCAGTGCTGGTTTGCTGAAAACGCGGGTTGGTGGGCTGGTAGGAGGCGCCTGAGGTGTGCAGACCAAGTTTGAGCCGAAGTCTTACGAGAGACACAGTTGCGCCTCTGCCCCTCCCCCTGCATATGTATGTCTGTCCCTCCTGGGGGGCCAGAGCTTACAACAGGGAAGGGAAGGACTGACGGACGTTAGCTGAAAGGACCAAAACTCAGAGTTTTTGATGGAGGACATCAGTCTTTTAGAACCAACTTACAAACTTGAACAGCCTTGGACATGAAGAGAGACTCAGATCCATTATGCATTTGAATTGTGACATAACCATCTAATCACAAGAATGCACATTGTTTAGAGAAGACATTTGCAACTGGGCCTTTGGGAGTCAGTGTACCCAAATATATCCAGGACTTGATTCAAAAAAGCTTACATTTGACCTAAAAATTCCACACGTGGCCATTTATCTTCAGGTCATAAGGGGACCATTGGACATACACAGATGTATGAGGATGTTAACAGCATTGCTCTTTATAACCAGAAAATCAGAAAATAATCTAAATTGATAGAAAACTGATGAAGCAAATCATGGCATATCCTTGCAAAGGAATACTTTGCAGGCACTAAAATTATGCCACAGATCAGTAGTTACCAGCAAAGTTGGCCATGGTACATTAAGTGAAAAAAGCAATATGATACCTTAAAAAAAAAAAAAAGGAAATGCACGTACAAAATTACCTAGTATGTGCGTTGAAAAAAAATGCAAAATTATTCATCAAAATGTTAACGGTTATTTGAATGTTAGGATTACTGGCAATCTGTATTTTCTTTGTGCCTTTTTATATTTCGTAAGTTATTTAAAATAAACACAAATCATTATAATGGTTTATAAAAAGAAGGTTCCTAAAGAGCCCATTGTGAAAGCTCTTGCAGCATTTTAAATGAATAATTGATCTATTTAGCGTCTCAGGTTTACTCTAAGTTACAAGTTCCCGAAGAGCGGGGAGCATTTTCGCTCCCGTTCCTCCCCCTGGCTCCACGCAGCCCTGCGCATGAGCAGAGCTCCCTGACAGCCGTCGACTGACTGGGTATTTAGGTGTCAAGTACTGAGAAGGTATTAGTGAAAATCGCTAAGGACTAAATTGCGTAGCTGAGCCTTTGCACTATAACTTCTATAATTGAAAACTAAAACCTCTGAGTCATTTCATTTTATTACAAATGAACCCACCTCACAACTCCCCTTCAGTTTTGAAATCTCGCCAAAGTGTTGGTTATGGTCCCATCACTTGGCTAATGTGAAAGTTTTAAAAGCTATTTAATGACATCATTATCCTGCAAATCATAATGAAGGAGGCAAAAACGAGTCTGGTGTTTGAAAAATCCATGCATGGACCTGTGGTTTCTGATAGGGGAGCAGGGCCCATCTAAGAAAATTTGAGGTGATGGAATTTTGTTACTTTGCATCTCAACCTCTCCATTGGTGCCTTTGTACCAGTCAGATGTTGCTGTGTAACAAACGGGCACAAAAATCTCAGTGGCAAAGAAAAATGGTGTATGTTTCTTGATCTACGCTGGGCTCATCGAGGGGTCTCTGAGTCTGGCTGGCCTCTCTCCCGTCCACCTCTAGAATCCAGACTCTAGTGTGCACCATGTGTATTTGCTTGGGGTCCAGATGAAAGGGCAGGCGCAATTTAGGGGAAGCTCTTCTTCTGTCAAAGTAGAAGTCAAGGCCAAGAGTGTATGCGCATTCATACCAGCACACTTCAGGTTCCTGCACATGTCATGCCTGCTAACGCCCCTTTGGCCAGAGAAACGCCCCAGCAGCAGTGGGGCCGGGAAGCCCACAGAAGGGAGCATTCGCGGAAAGTGAGGCATCGTGACCAGTGATTGGGCCTGCCATACCCTCCATGAGCACAGGTGTTCACCCCCACTTCCTCTCTGCCGATCAGCCAGTGTTTCCGCGCATCCCTGTGTAGCCATCCGTTCCGCCTGAAGGAGAAGACAGCCCTGCCTGCATGGTACATTGGGTGTCCTTTTTGGGTAAATAAAACACGGATTTGATGTTTTGTTGACCACGCCCTGTTCTGTTCCGAGGTTCTTTGGAGAGGATGGGCCCTCACCCGGTCGGGACGAGCTTTCATCCCTTAGTCCCAGCGGCCGGGAGAGGGACAGAACACTGGTCGGAGGCACAAAGGGACTTGCCTGCCCAGAGTACAGCCAGGGTGCTACGGGCTGAGGAAGGACAGAGCCTGTCATCCCTCCGTTTGAGAAGACGCGTGGCGATGGCCGGTGGCTGGCAGCCGGCAGGGGCACGGCCGTCGAGCTGGCACCTGGCTCCAGCTGAGGAGCAGCGTTCCTGTTTCCCTCAGACTGCTGAAGTCCAACAGCACTTACACTGATGATGTAAGTGCTTACTTTAAATCTCTGGGGAAAGCAAGTGCAATTTTACTTCCTAACGTTGTAAATGAGGCCGGGTTCTCGGGAACCGCAGTGAAGCGCATTAGGATGTGTATAAACGTGAACAAAGCCGGGGACATTGAAAGGAAAGATGTCGTGGGTAAAAGGGTCCGTCTGCTGACGCACAAACTGCAGAGAGGCTTTCAGCTTTTTCCTCCCAAATCTAGACACCAACTGGCAATTTGCGCATCTATTGTGTTCTAAACGAGGCTGACTAAACTCAGCTCCCCTCCGAGGCTTAGCCGGCTGAGATGGAAGAGCAGAAAGTCTGAGCCATCACATGAGGCAGTGAACGGTAAGGCTTGGAGCTAAGCATCCCAAATGGCTCGGGCAGGGCTTCTCGAAGCACGGTCCTCAGAGTGGCAGGGGCAGCGTGGCCCGGGCACTTGTCAGGGGTGCACGTGCTCGGGCCCCATGCCAGGTCTCCGGGAAGCAGACGCTCAGGCTGGGGCCCAGCTGCCTGGGTTCTTAACTCTCCCCTGGGCCCCAGAGGCTCTAGCTGGGGGATCAGCGGTGCAGTGGGCCTCTCTCCCCTGGGCCGCTTGAAGGAGTTGGGGCAGTCTGCAGAGGAGAGAAGGAAGGGCAGCCCCACGGTGGTCGTGGGGATGGGCACAGAGCAGAGGCCAGTGGGCCCCACCCTGCAGCACTCATTTCCTACGGCCGCTGTAACAAAGACCACAGACTGTGTCGCTTAACCCACATGCATGTCCTGTCTCGGTCTGGAGGCTGGGCATCCAAGGGCAGGGTGTGGCAGGGTGGGTCCTCTGCAGCTGTGAGGGAGGGTCTCTTCTGTCCTGTCTCCCGGCTTTGGGTGTTTGCCCTGAGTCTTGGGTTTTCTTTGGCTTGTGGAGGCGTCACCCCCATCCCTGCTTTCTATCCCTGTGCCTAAATATCTCCTTTCTATGAGGACACCATTCGTACTCAAGACCTCGTCTTGACTAATTATATCTGCAAAAACCCTATTTCCAAATAAGGTCACATTCACAGTTACTGGGGGTTAGAGCTTCAACTTCGCTTTGGAGGACACAATTCAATCACAGTTTTTGTTTTGTTTTTTTTTAATAAATTATTTGAGAGAGCGAGAAAGAGAGAGAGAGTACATGAGAGCGGGGAGGGGCAGAGGGAGAAGCAGACTCCCTGCCGAGCAGGGGGCCCGATGCGGGACTCGATCCCGGGACTCCAGGATCATGACCTGAGCCGAAGGCAGTCGCCTAACCAACTGAGCCACCCAGGCGCCCCTCAATCACAGTTTAATGCTGACAATTGTGAGTCATACAGGCATGGGCCCCTGTGACCCAACAGGAGCCAGTCAGGTACAAGACACTGCTAAGATTCTGGGTTGGAACTTGGAGGACATAACATCCGACGTGGCGCAGCCATCTGGGGCTTGTCAGGGAAGGATGGGAGTCCATGAACACGTGGAGGGAGCCAACCCCCTCCTGGGGGTAAGTGGAACCAGGAGAATGTAGTGAAACACTGGGTGTAGTATAGTCACTATAGTAACATCACTTAAATGCTTAAAGCCAGGCCTATTCCCAGATGTTCCAAATACATGAACCAGTGTCTCCTTTTCATCAAAATCATTTTGGATTGTGGTTTCCTGTCCCTTGAAATCTAAAGAATGTGACGATATGTATGGTCCCGTGTCTCTAAATTCAAAGCTAGTTCTTAGCCTGGTGTGGCACGTGGAGAAAAACAGAACGGCTGAGTACAGGTGTGGGCTGCTCTTGCCTCAAGAGGGGCGTGCAAGGGCTCCCACTGCCCCAGGGTCTGCTGCAGAGAGAGATCTCAACCCCAGGACTCATGGCCGGCACACCCAGGTCTCCAGGCTGTCCACGGGGAGGCCCCAGGCCCCTGCTGCTCAGAATGCGGTGCACGGCCCAGCAGCACCTGGCCCCCTGGGAACTGGTCAGAAACGCAGGTTCTCAGGGCCCACCCCAGACGTTCCGAACCAGACTCCGCATTTTAAACAGAATCACCATCGATTTATGTGCTCATTAGGCTCAAGACGCAAAGTTCCAACCTCATTAGTGAGCAAAGTTTTGGTGCATTAAATCCCAGCTATTTAACGATCAAATTGGATTTCTGCTCTTTCTATCTGATTTAAAGCTATTCCTCCAAGGATTGAGATGACCAAACAACCAAGTCATCCTATGAATATTGTATTATATTGTTATATTCTATTATATCATTATATTATAAACATAACACATCAGTATTAATTTATATTAGCAGCATAGTATATAAATTCCACTTTGAAGTACATGAGACATTTGACAGTATGTTTCATGTTCAATTTATATCTTTATTGAATGGCATAATATAATACTGCAGACCATGAAGACAAAGTTTGTGCCTCAAGTGGTAACTACGCTAACCGACATCTTCAACATCATGAGCAAAAGCTGCTGAGTCATGGCTCAGCTCTCGGCTCCATGCGCTTCCACACCCTGGGCGTCCAGAGTCGCCGAGCAGATGCTGGGTCAGCACCAGAACCACATTCCCCAGAAACCTGAGCAGCCGAAAGCCCCACTGCAAACGTCTGGCAGTTTGTCTGCTACAGAAAGCAAATTGTCTCTTGCTTCCTGAGTTTCACAGAGATGTTTTTCTGGCCATGCACTGGGTTGAAGACCTGCTCAGAAAGGCTTTTGGGAGTTGGTTTCCGCCGCTGGTCATCGTTCTTGGAACAACCACCCGGTGAGGACTCGGGGCTGCTGCGTCTCAGCGGGGATCGGCGGCAGTGAGGAAGAATAGCTAGAGGCCACAGACAACAAAGAAACCAAAATTAAGCTAATCCTCACACGTGCAAGGCTTTGCAGATAAATAAAAATTAATTTTGGCCTTTTCAGATCTTTGACTCTTTGTATCTTTATTTCGATCAGAACAGATTCCGCCAAAACATAAAACGAAGACGGCCAGAGCTTAAACAAAATGTACAGAGCAGAGCCTGTTCACACGCAGAGCAGGAGTGTGTGCCCATGAGGAAAAGCACCAAGCAGAAGTGCAAGGTTTAGAGTCTGGACAGGGGAGTGCTAATTGATAATGGACAACTTCTGTTGTGGGTAGAACAGAATGAGCCCATAGGTATGCGCACCATTGGTTAAAACTAGCCCTGTTGCTCCCTGGTCTGGAAAACGCTGTCAGTTTGGTCCGGGCGGGGGCTGGGGTCTGTCCAAATCCATGACCTTCCCTCGGCGGCCACAGGCTGGAGCCAGTCATGCGGCATCTCCCGGACACGTGCCGCTCTAAGTGGGGGATTTTTTTATATACAGTGTACATTCACTCAGTCAATATCTATTGATCCTCTGATATCGACTGCTTCTTTTTGATTGTTGCTCAAATGGCACCACATTAGAGGGAAATGTGCCCCCTGCCCTCCTCCACTCCCCACCCTCCGGCTCTGTTCTACTTCTCCTGGCGCCCGCCACCCTATGCTGCTGCCGTGCTGGGTGCTGCCGACTCGACCCCCCCCCCCCCCCGGCAGAAGCTCCAGGGAAAGGGGCTTTGTTTTGCCCCCAGCTGCGTTTTCACATCTAGGACAGCGCCCGGCTGAGAGTAGGTGCTCCGAAAATATTTCTGAGTGAAAAGCAGTGCATCAGGTGCTAGACCTCCTAGAGCTTTTTAAATAAAAACAGTATTATAAAACATAAGCCAGATGCTCTGTATTTTAGTAAAATATATTTTAAACCCTAGACTAAAAAGCACAAGGGAGAAAAAAAAGAACATTTCTATCCTGCTTTGGAAGGCAATTTATCAGCATCTATAAACATTTTAAATTCTCATCCCCTCCCAGGCCAGAGCTCTGTCTCTCTAGATCTGCACCTCCTCTCGTGCACAGGGAGGCATGCCCTTGGGTGTCCACATGGCTTTGTTTGTGAAAAATTGAAGACAAGTCTCAGGCCCCATCCACCTCGTGCTTGCCGTGGGTCTGGTCGGAGAACACAGCAAATGCCCAGTGAATGCAGACCTTACCATCCACTGCAAGAATCTGGTCCCTCCCCTGTCACGGCCTTTTGTCACGGTCCCTCCGGGAGGGATCAAGCCAGTTCAGTCAGCAATCACGCTCTGTTTCCACGGTTCCTGACCCCAAGTTGGGGTGTCCTTGGTCTGCCCTGGTCTGAGAGTCTGAGCCGCCCTCGCTGGTGGAGCAGGCCTGGCTGTTCTCGGCCCGCACCACCCACGCCCAGGCTGCACCGCCTAGCAGACACTGTCGGGTGTCGGCTTAGCTGGGCCCGGGTGTTCAGGGGAAATTTTGTGAATGAAGGACCCCAGCAGAGCCAGCAACTTATGCTTGGCTTCAGGCAACGGAGTGGGAGATAGAGCTTCCCCCACAGATAGCCTCCACTTTCTCATACAAAGCGGAGATACCTCTGGGGCCAGGCTGTCTGCAGCTTCAGTGCTCCGTGTCCACAGAACCAGGAAGGCTTGAGGGCCCTTCCACTGGCCATCATAGAGTTCCACTGACCCACTCCCCAAAAACGGGAATATCAGCCAGAGAATCCCAGGCACCTAGGGGTCAGGCATTCAGTTTCCACAAGAGCTCAGGGGCACGTGAATAGCTGCTTTTCAAAAGTCACATTACCTAGTAGCTGTGTCGAAACTGCAAGTCCAAAACCCCACAGGGTACCTGGGCGGGTACTCTCCTGGGGGAGGCTGCCTCCCTTTGGAGCCCAGAGGCTGCAGTTAGCAAGATCTTCATGCTTGTTCTGTCCCCAGCAGCTGAAGATTTCACTGAGGTGCCAGGCATTCCCGCAAGACTCTGACCCATCACTGGCAGCGAATGGCAGGGGGTTAACGCACGGCAGTTCTGTGCAAACAGCTCTCCTGCATTATGGAAGGCAGTCTGCTTACTCAGAGTTCACCACTTGCAATGTAATCTCACCCAAAAGCAGCCTCCGGGGTGATCCATAAAATAAACCATCACAGTATCTTTGCCCCGCCCCCACCACGCCCAGGGCCCCTCCCCCACGGGACCAGGTAGGGCGGTGACCCGGGAACCCACATCCAACAGAGAAAGAGAAGTGGAGATCTTCTCCTCACAGCATATTCAGCATGTCCCAGTCCTGTAGGCTCTGGGACAGGAAGACCTCGCCCCAACCCAGAATCCTGAAAGCGGCTGAGGGGCAGAGGGCAGGGTGGACAGAGTGTCTCTGGCGTCCAGGCTTGAGCAGCATGACAACCACTGGTGGCTCAACCAGCCAATCTTCCAACGCCGACAGTCCCCCCAACGCCCTCTGTCAGCTCTGGGACACACACCCCTTTCCCCTCTACCTGGAGGAGAGGGGAAAACCTAAAAGCACCATCGCGGCTACTTGTCTCAACCGCCAAACCATCCTATTAACGGGCAACAAAATGAAGGGGACACCATTTCACCCAGCCGACCATACAGGTTGGTCAGTGTGCCAAGTACCGATGCTCATGAACTTCGCTCGGGGCCCTCATCCGCCTCGTCCAGAAGCCATGTCTGTATCCCAGCCTCATTGCCAGAAGTGTGAAGTCAGACTCTGGGAAGGGCCTGGGATTTTACCCTACATGCATATGCTAACTGCTTAATTTGCCGCAATTTTATATACACATCCTGACAGAAGGACACCGGACCCCTGGGGCAGAGACAGGGAGGGTTTATTACTCACAGCAAACAGATAAACAGAGCAAGCATCTCGTCCCTTTCCCCACACCCTGTTCCCCGCAGGGCCAGGCACGGAGGGCCAGATGTTACCTGTATGCACAGTGGGGTGCACCGCGGGACCCTAAAATTAAAAGACTCTGACCTTTTATGTGGCGGCTGGCATAGCTGCTTGTCCTCGCCTCTGAAGAGAAAGATTATTCATTACCCTGGAATGTAAGCATATATTTCAAGAAGACGAAGGAGATTGTATCTTTCCTATCCAGAGACCTCACCAGGGAGGTATTTCTCTAAATTTCTCTGGTGGCATATTCTCCTTAGCTTCCAGCACAGGCTTGCTATTCGAGCCTGTTCTTTGTTCAGAAGGCCTACACCATGCAGGAACATAAGAAACTCCATGGAGAATTGTCTTCCAATAATATTACCTTTTGTGAATTGTCTTTTCAAATATGTGGCACATTTTTTTTTTAATTTGGCAATTAATCTTCTTGTTGACTTGTAAGAATGTTTATACAATTCAGGTCCTCTGTAAGATATGCATATTACAAGTATGGCAAACAAACAAACAAACAAAACCCCTCCAATTATGTGACTTGCCCTGTTGTTTAGTTAATGATGTTTTCGAGTAGGAAGTTTTGAATGTCTTCTAAAGTCTAATTTATCAATTTTTTGAAACTTCCTAATTTGCTTTTCATATCCTGTTTTCAAAATTCTTCCCTGCTCTGTACATTCTTCTAGAACCTTTGTAGTTTTAGCCTTCACATTTAGGCCCGTGATCCATTCCAAGTTCATATCGTCTGTGGTATGATGCTTATCTTGTGCACGGATATCCCATTACTGTAGTGCCATTTGTTGGGAAGACTGTTTTCCCCACTGGCTTGCCTTGGCATCTCTGTCAAAAAATTATTTAATCATATACGTATGGCTCTGTTTCTGGATTCCCTATTTTAGCACAGCCCAATGTAAATATAATGCAAGATGTAAATGTAACCTACATATGCAATTTTAAATTTTCTAGTAGCCACCTTTTCAAAGGTGGATAGCTATGGGACTGCCATCTTAATAACCCACAGTTCAGTCAGCCACAAATATTTACCCACTGGTGCTGGGGTTTTTTTTTTAATGACTAGGTCCAGACTGGGCGACATAAGGGATGGTCCATCATGAAATGCGTGTCAAGTAAAACAAAATTTGACACAGCAAGATTAAATTGGCTGGAGCCTCAGCCAAAAGCAGAGCCCACGAGTTGTGACTTTCAATGCGATGTTACGTAATCAATGCTTCACATTTTCTCCTGCCCAAGCTACACAGAGCAAAGAGCAAGCTTCTATAATCAATACCATGAGTAATATGAAGTTTATTTAACTCAAAGAAGAAAGAAATTATTAAAGACTGAAAAAATCTTACAGTTTAATTATAAATAGCATACACTATTCTGTGCCCAGCCTCGTGGGTTAAGTTTCTAGAAACAATTGATGAGGCTTCGTGGTGAAAAAACAGATTTATGGGAGAATCACCATTAGAAGAACAAAGACTGTGAACAAGGCTGCCTTTATAATCGCTGATGAGTCCACGAAAAATAAACAACAGAGACAAAGCAAAATGATGTACTAAGCATCGCTTTCCTCTGTCTCCAAATCCCATAAAATAGCAGAAAATATTATTTTAAAGAAAATAAATACATAATAGTACTAGACTAGAACCTTAGAAGATTTTTTTGAAGTATAGAAAGCACACAGGATACGATCTACTGAGGGAGAAAAGACAACAAAAAATAGCCCAAAGGCAACACAAAAACTAACGCAGTTCAGGGATGCTCCAGGCCCAGAGCAGAACCCAGAAATCCTGGCTGCCCACTGACTTCACCATATTCCCTATCTCTGCTAAAGATTCTCCTAAATAGTGTGGTATTTTAAAAGTAATCTCAGATTACAAAATTTTGGCTTTTTTAAAATCAGTCAATTAACATATAGTGTATTATTAGTTTCAGAGGTAGAGTTTAGTGATTCATCAGTTGCATATAACACCCAGTGCTCATGACATCAAGTGCCCTCCTTAATGTCCAGTACCCAATTACCCCTTCTCCCCCACTCACCTCTCCTTTTCAATCTTGGCTGCAGCAACTTCTTGCTAGACACATCTCCAAAGGCAAGGGAGACAAAAGCAAAAATGAACTATTGGGACTTAATCAGGATAAAAAGCTTTTTGCACAGCAAAGGAAAGAGTCGATAAAACAAAAAACAACCCACAGAATGGGAGAAGATATTTGCAAATGTTTTATCAGATAAAGGGCTAGGATCCAAAATCCATAAAGAACTTCTCAAACTTAACACCCAAAAACAAATAATCCAGTCAAGAAATGGGCAGAAGCCATGAACAGACATTTCTCCAAAGAAGACATACAAATGGCCAACAGACATGAAAAAATGCTCCACATCACTTGGCATCAGGAAAATACAAATCAAAACCACAATGAGATACCACCTCACGCCAGTCAGAATGGCTAAAATTAACAAGTCAGGAAAAGACAGATATTGGCGGGGATGCGGAGAAAGGGGAATCCTCCTACACTGTTGGTGGGAATGCAAGCTGGTGCAGCCACTCTGGAAAACAGCATGGAGGTTCCTCAAAATGTTGGAAATAGAGCTACCCTATGACCCAGCAATTGCACTACTAGGGATATACCCCAAAGATACAAATGGAGTGATCCAAAGGGGCACCTGCACCCCAATGTCTAAAGCAGCAATGTCCACAATAGTCAAATTATGGGAAGAGCCCAATGTCCATCGACAGATGAATGGATAAACAAGATGTGATACACACACACACACACACACACACGGAATACTACTCAGCCATCAAAAAAATGAAATCTTGCCATTTGCAATGGAATGGATGGAACTAAAGGGTATTATGTGAAGCGAAACAAGTCAGTCAAAGAAAGACAAATACCATATGATTTCACTCATGTGGAATTTAAGAAACAAAACAGATGAACATAGCGGAAGGGAGGGCATAATTTTGGCTTTAAAAAACAAACAAGGGGCACTTGGCTGGCTAAGTTGGTAGAGCATGCAACTCTTGATCTCAGGGTTGTTCCATGTTAGGTGTGGAGTTCAAGTTCCATGTTAGGTGTGGAGATTGCTTAAAAATAAAATCTTTAAAAATAAATAAATAAATAAATACTTCCCTCATAAAAAAGCATCCCAATTCGTTACCTTTTCTTTTATATTTTATATTTATTTTATATTTTCCTATTTTCAAGTATATTTACATTTGCATAATTATAACAGTAGTACACATGCAATTTTATGTCCTGTTTTTCCTTTAACCTTATAGAAGTATTTCCCATCTTGCCACTGAATCTTTGTAGCTATCATTTTTAATATCTACATAATATACTTTGATTGGATGTACCATGGTCTATTTTCTGCTTGCCTTCTTTTTGACCACTTGGGTTGTTTCCAATGTGTGCTATTATAAATAATGCTGTAATTAACATCTTTATTTCCTCGACTAAATTTAAATCTGTTTTATGAATTAAAAGCAGCTGAACTGACTTCTGTGTCATTCCTTTTTGAACAAAAATGGAATGTCCTGGTTTCGTAACAAGGAACAATCTAAATTTAGGTGTACAGATAAAGCTGTGTGACAAGTCAGAATAGCAATGGCAGAGTTCCTAAAGCTTTTTAGACAATATCTATTTAGCTTACTTGTCCCTCTTTGGGGAATAGAGTAAGTCCCAGGTTGCTTCAGTTTAAAATGAATCTCAAGATTGGTAACGTTTGCCTTGACAGGAGTAATTTTTTTAAAACAGTAGCACTTCTGGCTGTGTTACTTTCTTCAGATCTTTCCCCACTTGACCAAGGTGAAGGTCAATCGCGAATACATAATTTTCAAGCTATTTGAAATACTGAAACTGACACTGAAAAGGTTTCTGTCTTTTCATAAAGTATTTTGTTGCCCCAGATAAAGCAGTGGCTGGTGAGAGTAAAGCAGATATGTGTGTGCAGGCCGGGGTGGGGTGGGGGGCCATGAATTTTATAAAAGGACCAGTTACGAGTCGAAGAAATTTAAAATACGATATTAAAGATTTTAAACTCAGCAGAGCAGATGACCAGTAGATTGATGCAGCTACAAATGAATTACGTCCTGAATAATCAAACCACTCCAAGAGCCACCAAATATGAATTTCATATGTAGAAAATTGTGGGAATGAAGGAGAAAAAAATTAATAATAAAATTATCCAGAGTTAAATAAAGACACAAGTATTGGGGTTGGGTGAGTTCCCTGAAAGTTGGTCAGAATGCATGAAACACATAAGCACCTCCAGAGCACCACTGGGAAATTTCACAACATCAAGGATGAAGGGGAAAGTCCTAAAAGATTACAAAGCAGGCAAAAAAATAAATAAAAAGCAGAAGGAGAAAACAGATTGCCTACAAAGGAATAAACATCAAATTGGATTCTACCTTCTCATTGTCAACAATGGTGCTAGAAGACAATGGGCCAACAACCTCGAAAGTCTGAATATCATAATACAAAATGATCCCCACAACCAGGTTAGTTAACATATCCATCACATCATGACAATTTTATTTTTGGGGTGAGAACATTTACGATCTACTCTCTTAGCAACTTGCAACTGTGTAATAACACACTGTTAACTATAGTCACCATGCTGAATATGACATCCCCAGAATTTTTCCATCTTATCATTGGAAGTTTGTGCCCTTTGGCCAACATCTGCCCATTTCCCCCAACCCCCAGCCCTGATCACCGCCATTCTACTCTCTGTTTCTATGAGTTTGACTCTTTTTTTTTTATTCCACATGTGAGATCATATCATATTTGTCTTTCTCTGTCTGACTTATTTCATTTAGCATAATGTCCTCAAGTCCATCCATGTCACAAATAGCAGGATTTTCTTCTTTTTTAAGGCTGAATCATATTCTGTTGTATATACACCACATTTTCTTTATGCAATTATCCATTAATGAACATTTAGGTTGTTTCCATGTCTTGGCTATTGTGAATAATGCTAAAATGAACATGGAGGTGCAGACATCTCTTTGAGATAGTGCTTTCATTTCCTTCTGATATGTACCCAGAAGTGGGATTGATGGATCATGTGGTAGTTCTGGTGTTAATTTTTTGAGGAATCGTGGCTGCACCTATTTACCTTCCCTCCAGCAGTGCACGAGGGTTCCCTTTTCTCCACATCCTTGTGGACACTTGTTACCTCTTGCCTTTCTGATGACACCCATTCCAACAGGTGTGAGGTCACCTCACTGTGGTTTTGATTTGCATTTCCCTGATGATGAGTGATGTTGAGCACCTTTTAGTGTACCTGTTGGTCATTTGTATGTCTTTTTTGGAAAAACG